GGTGTGCAGGAGGGAGCTGATTGAAGTTTCTCTCTCATCGGTATTTCTAACTCTCTATCCCTCTCCCTTCCTCTCTGTAAAAAAAATCAATAAAATATATTTAAAAAGAAAAAAAGAAAAGAAGCATCCATGATGAGAGAGAATCATGGATCAGCCGCCTCCTTCATATTCCCCCTCCTCCCCCCCGCCTGGGGGGATCGAGCCTGCAACCCGGGCATGTGCCCGTGACCGGGCATCGAACCGTGACCTCCTGGTTCCTAGGTCGCTTACGCTGTAACCACTGAGCAACACCGGCCGGGCTCACTTTGAGTGGATTTACATATTCCCTGATGTTTAGAGTGTGGGTTCACGGGTTGTCCAGGATGCTTTATCACCTCGGAGCAGTGTCCTTGGCCCTGTGATCACCTGTGTATTCCCCCCGGGGACGGGGGCGGGGGCGGGGGGCAGGGTCCTGGCCGTTGGGCTGGCTCGCTGGATCCGGCCTGGCGGCCAGGCCAGGCGGTGGGACCAGGAAACAGGCCTGGGCTTTGTTCTCGGTGGGAATGCGGCCACCTGCGAGCTTTGGCAGGCCTGCTGGTACCTGGAGGGGGGGGGGGGGGGGGTGATAAGTGGAGGGTCAAGGAGGAGGCACGAGGCACTGAACTGCTACTGTAACTGTTTCCTTCCCAGCGTCTGTACTGGGACTTCCTTAAAGCTCTTGGAAAAAGAGCAGATCGATCACCTGCCATTTGGGGAAATATTTTCATATATATATATATATATATATTGATTTTTACAGAGAGGAAGGGAGAGGAATAAAGAGCTAGAAACATTGATGAGAGAGAAACATCGACCAGCTGCCCCCTGCACACCCCCCACTGGGATGTGCCCACAACCAAGGTCCATGCCCTGGACCGGAATCGAACCTGGAACCTTTCAGTCCGCAGGCCGACGCTCTATCCACTGAGCCAAACCGGTCAGGGCTAGTTGGTGATTCTTTTTATTTTTCTTTAAATACCTTTTTCATGTTTTTTTTTTAAATATATTTTATTGATTTTTAACAGAGAGAAAGGAAGAGAGATAGAGAGCTAGAAACGTTGATGAGAGAGAAAAATCAACCAGCTGCCTCTTGCACAACCCCTACCGGGGATGTGCCCACAACCAATGTGCATGCCCTTGGCCGGAATCGAACCTGGGAACCTTTCAGTCCGCAGGCCGACGCTCTATCCACTGAGCCAAACCGGTCAGGGCTAGTTGGTGATTCTTATCCCTCATTCATACTATGAATGAACATGCTTTCAAATTTAAATTTTACCAGGCTTCACTTTATGTCAAGGGGCCAGATTTACATATCTGTACCTATATGTGTGTATGTATATTTATGTATAGAATAGAGGGTAATGGGATTATCTCAGAAAAAAAAATTCTAGACAAAGGTTCATTTTAGTAAGACGTTATCAAGAAATAACATCGTTGGGGTGATCAGTGATCAGTAAGTTATATCGATGTCTAATCGCTAGATGTGACACATCTGAAACTAATATAATATTGTATGATGCCCGACCGGCGTGGCTCGGTGGTTGAGCGTCGACCTAGGAGCCAGGAGGTCAGGGTTCGATTCCCGGTCAGGGCACAGGCCCGGGTTGCGGGCTCCATCCCCAGTCGGGGGCGTGCAGGAGGCAGCCGACCCGTGATTCTCTCTCACCATGGATGTTTCTACCCCTCTCTCCCTCTCCCCTCCTCTCTGAAGCCAATAAAAATATATTTTAAAACTGTTTTGTTTTGTTTTTAAAGAAGAAATGTAAGAAAATCTGGCGTCGTTGGAGAAACGCAGCTTGGACTGAGGCTGTTTGTTCAGAGGTCCCGCTCCCTGTGGCTTTTCTCAACGTGTTTTTTTGTTTTTCCCTTAAGACATTTTCCTTGGTGTTAATATTGTTTGTGGTTAAAGATTAATCGGCAGGAACCCATTAGACTCCAGTGGAATTTGGACACAGCAACCCCATAAATGTCGAGATAATAGAATGGAGACATTGTAATTGCCATTTGTAAAAAAAAAAAACCAACACACACAACTATACACACACATACACACACACATACACACACACACACACACACACACACAGGAGGCCTGGTGCAGTGCCGGGGGGGGGGGGGGGGGGGGGAGGTGTCCCTCAGCCCAGCCTGCGCCCTCTCCAATCTGGGACATCCCTCTCACAATCCAGGACTGCTGGCTCCCAACCGCTCACCTGCCTGCCTTTCCTGGTTGCCCCTAACCGCTTCTGCCTGCCAGCCTGATCACCCCTAACCACTCCCCAGCCAGCTTGATTGATGTCTAACTGCCCTCCCCCCTGCCAGTCCGTTTGCCCCCAACTTCCCTCCTCTGCCGGCCTGGCCACCCCTAACTGCCCTCCCCTGCAGGCTTGATTGCCCCCAACTGCCCTCCTGGGCTCCAACCTGCCTCGCCGGGCCTCTCGCCGGGACCTGTCCCATTTGGGGGCCGAAAAGGCCGGATCGCCTGGCCTGGGCCGTACGCTCCCCGGGGGCAGCCCTCCCTGCCAGGGGCAGGAAGCGGAAGTTGGCACCCAGCCTCCCGTCCCAACGCTGAAACCTGGCCGGCTGCCCCGTTCGGCTACCTGTCGGGACACCGGCTAATTCTTTTTTTTTTTTTTTTTTGGTTTCGGTCACTTTGCCCAAAAGATAAGGAATGCCAGGAATTCTGCTGAGCACCTCGGAATCGACGCCCAGACAATGGGCCTTTCACGGGACTCCACGCCTGGCACCGGGCGTGTGACTGGAACGTGTGGGGCCCGGGGAGCCTGGGGGTGGCAGCGGTCAGCTCCTGGGGAAACCGGGCACCCGGGAGGGCCCGTCGGCGCTGAGGCTGCTCCTCGGCCGGACGCCAGACCCTGACCTTTACTTAGACACGCAGCGAGTCTGACACGGCGAGGTGTCAGGCCTCATGTGTCCTCGTGTTTTCGCTTATTCTAGAGCTGCCTTTCCCTGGCCTGGGCAGCTCCAGGGCTTCCCTCTGTTAAGCAACACACTCACGCCTTCTTCTTTAAAAAATAAATAAATATATATATATATTATTGATTTTATTTTTTTTACAGAGAGGAGGAGAGAGAGGTAGAGAGTTAGAAACATCTATGAGAGTTAGAAACACCGACCAGCTGGGGATGTGCCCGCAACCCAGGTACATGCCCTTGACCGGAATCGAACCTGGGACCTTTCAGTCTGCAGGCCGACGCTCTAGCCACTGAGCCACACCGGTTTCGGCCGCTCACGCCTTCTTACGTAGAACATTGAGCACAACCGCACGCCCTCAGTATCGGCGACGTATGGTAAACCCTCCCTCGGACATCTCTCCCTGGTTTAAAGAGAGAACCCACAGTCCAGTCAGCGTGGCCTAGTGGCTGAGCATCGACCTAGGAACCAGGAGGTCACGGTCCGATTCCCCATCAGGGTACATGCCCGAGGTTTCGGGCTGGATCCCAAGTGTGGGGTGTGCAAGAGGCAGCTGGGGCACGGCGGGGGTAGGGGGGGTAGGGAGGGGCAGTTAGGGGCGATCAGGCAGGCAGGCAGGCAGGTGAGCAGTTAGGAGCCAGTGGTCCTGGTTTGTGAGAGGGATGTCCGACTGCCTCGGATTGGAGAGGGTGCAGGCTGGGCTGAGGGGACCCCCCCCCCCCCGCCCCCGCGGTGCACGGATTTCGAGCACCAGGCCTCTAGTACAAAATAAATGAGAACCTGAGGATACTTCCAGACCCGAGGATAAAGGGGTGTGTGTGTGTGTGTGCACGTGTGTGTGTGTGCACGCGTGTGTGTGTGATGCTTGCTGTATTCCGCTGTTCTCAGCACTTCCATGAACTCACCAAGATACTGCGTTGGGTGAAATTGGGGGAGCCATCATACACCTTCCCTCCTCCCTGCCCTTACGGTGGACATACGATCACAGTTCCCACACAGGGAGGAGACAGCCGTACAGACTCCACCCCCACCCCCACCCAACCCCCAAGCCCTGGGAGCCCGCCTCTGGGTAGACCAGGGGATCACGCTCCAACGACAGGAAGTCAGAGAGGAGGAGGAGGGCCCGGACTGGAGACAGCCTGGCAGAGGGCGGCTGTGCGACGCAGACACAGTGAGGACCGTGACCCCTGGGGTCAGACTGCCTGAGCGTCGGTGCTTCTCGGTGGCAGGACCTTGGTCAGAGGGCCACGTGGCTGGTTCTGTGTCCTTATCTCTCCGGCCGGATCGTTAAGAGTGCACGCCGAGAGCGTTTAATCCCTGATTAAAATACCTGGGACCGCCCGGCCGGCGGGCCTGTGTGGCTCCGGGGTGGAGCGTCGACCTGTGAACCCGGAGGTCAGGGTTCGATTCCCGGTCAGGGCACCCGCCCGGGTGGCGGGCTCCATCCCCAGGGTGGGGTGTGCAGGAGGCTGCGGATCCTTGATTCTCTCTCATCGTGGATGTTTTTCCCTTCCTCCTTCTCTCTTTTTCTCTGAAATAAAAGGGGGGGGGGGGTGTGGAGGGAAAGAGTACTGAGCTGAACTATGTCTGTGGATTTTTTTCCCCAAAAACTTGTACCTTCAGGCCCAAGGGCCCTCTGGTGGTTATGATTCTCAGTGATGTCAGGGAGATAAAACTCAAGTTCATTCTCCTGTATGCTCCCCACTGCAGGGGAGATTCTGTTGAAAATGCCCCCAGCCCTAACTGGCGTCGGCCTGGGGACTGAAGGGTCCCAGGTTCGATTCCGGTCAAGGGCCTGTGCCTTGGTGGCGGGCACATCTGCAGTAGGAGGTGTGCAGGAGGCAGCCGATGGATGTTTCTCTCTCTCATGGATGTTTCTATCTCTCTATCCCTCTCCCTTCCTCTCGGTAAAAAAAAAAAATCAATAAAATATATTTAAAAACAAAATTTAAAAAAAGAAAAGAAAATATTGGGACTGGAGAAGATTATAAAAAAAAACGTGAAACCGTCTGACCTTTGTGTTTTTGTTTGTTGTTGTTGTTGTTTGTTTTCAGTTCTGCTCCTGGAGAAGATCGAGCACGACGACATGTGCAACAAGACGCTGAAGATCACGGACTTCGGGCTGGCGCGGGAGTGGCACCGCACCACGGAGATGAGCGCGGCGGGCACCTACGCCTGGATGGCCCCCGAGGTCATCAAGTCGTCCCTGTTCTCCAAGGGGAGCGACGTCTGGAGGTGAGCCCCCGGCCCTGGGCGTTTGCGGATGTCTGCAGAGACGGTTGCTGTCCATCATTACCTGACCCCCAGAGTGCTCAGCGATTCTGAGCATAACTCAGTGGTTCTGAGCATGACTCGGCAGTTCTGAGCATGACTCGGCGGTTCTGAGCATGACTCGGCGGTTCTGAGCATGACTCGGCGGTTCTGAGCATGACTCGGCAGTTCTGAGCGTGACTCGGCGGTTCTGAGCATGACTCGGCGGTTCTGAGCTTGACTCAGTGGTTCTGAGCATGACTCAGCCATTCTGAGCATGGTGGGTAGTGGAGGCCTTTTGGGACAGGATTTTATAGTTGTAGGGTGTTTTTTTTTTTTTAATACATTTTTTAATTTTAATTTCAGAAAGAAAAGGGGAGAGAGAGAGACAGAATCAAGGATCGGCCTGCTGCCTCCTGCATGCCCCACTCTGGGGATCAAGCCCGCAACCTGGGCCTGGGCCCTTGACTGGAATCGAACCTGGGACCTGTCAGTCCGCAGGCCAACACTCTATCCACTGAGCCACGCCGGCCAGGGCGGGTTTTATCGTTCTGATCGTTGTCATTACAGTGGAGCAGGGGCCTTCAGGTTCTTCACCATCGTGGCTTCCATTGGATAGGAAAACCTTCTTGTTACATGGGAGGTTTGATTAAAACTGGTTGTGCCAAAACAGGTGTGGCTCAGTGGATAGAGCATCGGCCTGTGGACTGAAGGGTCCCAGATTTGATGCTGGTCAAGGGCATGAAAATTGGTTGCAGGCACACCCCTGGTCGGGGGTGTGCAGGAGGCAGCTGGTCGATGCTTCTCTCTCATCGATGTTCCTAACTCTCTATCCCTCTCCCTTCCTCTCTGTAAAAAATCAATAAAATATATTTAAATAAAATAAAATAAAATAAAAAACTGGTTGTAATTGGCGACGGGGGTGGCTCAGGGGTTGAGCGTCCAACCAGGAGGCCACGGTTCGATTCCTAGTCAGGGCACAAGCCCGGGTTGAGGGCTCGATGCCCAGGGTGGGGCGTGCAGGAGGCAGCCGATCCATGATTCTCTCTCATCGTGGGTGTTTCTGTGTCCCTCTCCCCCCCACCCCCTTCCTCTCTGACATCAATAAAAATATATTAAAAGAAGAAAAGAAAAACAATAAAAAAGAACCACCACATTACCTGGCGTGGGCCGTGGGGCGTGGGGAGTTCAGTCATTGCTGCCCCTGCCTTCTCCCGCTCAGCCAGCAGCTGGCATGCCCGTGGCCACGGCCCTGCTGGTTTCGGGGGACGTTAGCCTGCGTTTGGGGCATCGGCTCTCCCTGGGACCAGGGCCGACGCTTTCTAGGAAGAGCAGGGCCCCGGGAGCCGCTGGAGGCGGGCGCCCACACCTCGGCCCCCCGCGGTGTCCCGGTGACCTTGACGGTGACCTTGCTTTCCAGCTACGGTGTGCTGCTGTGGGAGCTGCTCACGGGCGAGGTGCCTTACCGGGGCATCGACGGCCTGGCTGTGGCCTACGGGGTGGCGGTCAACAAGCTCACCCTGCCCATCCCGTCCACCTGCCCCGAGCCCTTCGCCAGGCTCATGAGAGGTACGTGGGCGCCCCTGTCTCCACGGGTCTGCGGGGGCCAGCGGGGGGTCCTTCCTGACAGCATAGGTAAATATTTTATTTTTATTTAAATATTTTTTAAATATATTTTATTGATTTTTTTACAGAGAGGAAGGGAGAGGGATAGAGAGCTAGAAACATCAATCATCTGCCTCCTGCACACTCCCTACTGGGGATGTGTGGTCAAGGGCATGGACCTGCAACCAAGGTCCATGCCCTTGACCGGAATCGAACCTGGGACCTTTCCGTCCGCAGGCCGACGCTCTAGCCACTGAGCCAAACCTGGTTTCGGCAATATTTTTTATATTTTTATTTTTTAAAAATATATTTTATTGAATTTTTTTTACAGAGCGGAAGGGAGAGGGATAGAGAGTTAGAAACATCGATGAGAGAGAAACATCGATCAGCTGCCTCCTGCACACCCCCCACTGGGTGTCTGGAAACTCCCCTCCTGTCTGTAAAAAAAAAAAAAAATCAGTAAAAAATATCCTTCTTCTCTGTAAAAAATGGATAGAGCGTCAGCCTGCAGACTGAAAGGTCCCGGGTTCGATTCCGGTCAAAGGCATGGACCTTGGTTGTGGGCACATCCCCAGTGGGAGGTGTGCAGGAGGCAGCTGATGGATGATTCTCTATCATCGATGTTTCTAACGCTCTGTCCCTCTCTCTTCCTCTCTGTAAAAAAAAATCAATAAAATATATATATTTAAAAAAAAAATTTTTTTTAAAGAACAACCTTTAAAATAATCATTAATGGACTTTACAATTTTTTCAGCAGCCTCTGTCCAAGGGGCTGATGCTCTGAGCCCTGCGGAGAGCCGGCATTCACGGGCGTCTGGTTCGTTTCAGAGTGCTGGCAGCCAGACCCGCACATCCGCCCGTCCTTCGCCCTCATCCTCCAGCAGCTGGCGGCCATCGAGGGGGCGGTCCTGGCGGAGATGCCCCCGGAGTCTTTCCACTCCATGCAGGACGACTGGAAGCTGGAGATCCAGCAGATGTTCGACGAGCTGAGGACAAAGGAGAAGGTGAGAGCACACCTGGAGGACGTGGCCTCCCTCCCACACGCGTGCACACGTATGAAGCGGGTGGAAGACGCAGGTCACCAGCCACCCACCGCCGGCATTAGTCTGAAATGTCCCGGACATCAGTATGGATGGATTCCTGCTTTCTAGTTAAAGCAGAAACAGGGCTGTTCTTGAAATGTGTGATCGGAAAAGAAAGAAGTAGCCAAACTGGCCAGTGCGGCTCAGTGGGTAGAGTGCCGGCCTGCGGACCGAAGGATCCCAGGTTCGATTCCGGTCAAGGGTGCGTACCTGGCTTGTGGGCCCAATTCCCAGCCTTGGCCATGGCGGGGGCACGTGCAGGAGGCAACCAATCAATAGTTCTCTCTTCTTTCCCTCTCTCTTTCACTTTCTCTAAAAAAAAAAAATCAGTAAAAATTCGCCTCAGGTGAGGTTCAAAAATAAAATTAAAAGATTATCATTCCACCCTGACTGGTTTGGCTCAGTGGACAGAGCATCGGCCTTCGAACGGAAGGGTCCCAGGTTCGATTCCGGTCAAGGGCGTGTGTACCTTGGCTGTGGGCACATCCCCAGTGGGGGATGTGCAGGAGGCAGCTGATGGATGATTCTCTCTCATCAATGTTTCTTGCTCTCCCTCCCTCTCCCTTCCTCTCTGTAAAAAGTCAATAAAACATATTTTAAAAAAAGTAAAAAACCACATCAGGAGCCTGGGAAGAAACGTGGCTCAGGCTTTGGTCCTTATTGGGTGCCTCCCGTGAACTGTGCCTTGCACTTTGCTCGGTGCTGTGACAGAGGACAATTAAACGAGCAAATAATAATGATAATAACAATATCTAATAATGATGACTCAGTAATAATAATGATGATGATGACTCAGTCCAGCCCGGATAAGGGCGCCGAAGGCTCCAGGACACTGGTTTATCAGGCGCTGCAGGAAAAGGGCCCGAAGGACTGAGAGGGAGGGAGCCGGTGATGGGAGCCGGGGAGGAGAGCTTGGGAGGGGGCTGTGTCCCAAGGACAAGCGTCAAGGGCGCCGGAGGAATTCAGACCGGCCGGGGGCACGGCTCACGGGACCTCTGTTCTCAGGCCTCTGCACCCTGAACCGTCCCAGGAACAAACAGTCGCAGGCACAGGGGCCTCTTCTTTCTTTCTTTCTTTCTTTCTTTCTTTCTTTCTTTCTTTCTTTCTTTCTTTCTTTCTTTTTCTTTTAATATATTTTATTGATTATTTTACAGGGAGGAAGAGAGAAGGATAGAGAGTTAGAGACATCGATGAGAGAGAAACATTGATCATCTGCCTCTTGCACACCCCCCACTGGGGATATGCCGGCTTTTTACAGAGAGGAAGGGACAGGGATAGAGAGTCAGAAACATCCATGAGAGAGAATCATCGACCAGCTGCCTCCTGCACACCCCCCAGTGGGGATGTGCCCGCAACCAAGGTCCATGCCCTTGACCGGAATCGAACCTGGGACCCTTCAGTCCGCAGGCCGACGCTCTATCCACTGAGCCACACCGTTCTGGCTGTGTGCCCCCTCTTTCCTTCCTCTCCAGCTCCGAGGCCCCCGCCGGAGGTCTCCTTCGGCTGGCATCTGGCCGGGTGCGTGCTCTCTCTCCCGTTCCCCTTCGCCGATGGCTCGATGGCTCGATGGCTCGGGGCGGGAGGCGTCCGACGGGAATGCTCGGCGGGTCCCCGGCCGGGCGTGTTACTCAGTAAACCGCCTCCGCAGACAGCGGCTCCTCCCGCATTCCTGGCGTCTTATCTCGCGTCGGTGTCCGGGGCACAGGGCGTCTTGGCAGGCCCGTCCCGTTAATGATTAACGTCTGCCCCGACTCGGGGGGCTTTGCCAGGGGAAGGGGCCGTGCCAAGCAGCTCGGCCAACGTGACTGCGTATCCTCCCGGCCACCGAGGGGCGCTGGCGGGTGCCTCCCCAGGTCAGAGCATCCCCAGGGGTTCGAATGCCCCCCACGTTGGTGCACTTTGTTTGTTTTTTAAATATATTTTATTGATGTTCTACAGAGAGGAAGGGAGAGGGACAGAGAGTTAGGAACATCGATGAGAGAGAAGCATCGACCAGCTGCCTCTTGCACACCCCCCACTGGGGATGTGCCCGCAACCAAGGTCCATGCCCTTGACCGGAATCGAACCTGGGATCCTCCAATCTGCAGGCTGATGCTCTATCCACTGAGCAAAAAACGGTTAGGGCATATTTTGTGTGTTTTTTAATTATTATTATTATTATTCTGAACGTGTAAAATTCATTCAAAGGAAGGACATTCTGGCTGCTTTCCCTCTCACATTTTTTTTTTTCCCTCTTATGAAGTCTTAGGCCAGTGATTTCTTTTAAAATACATTTTTATTGATTTCAGAGAGGAGGGCAGGGAGAGAGAGAGAAACTTCAATGATGAGAGAGCATCCCGGATCGGCTGCCTCCTGCACGCCCCCCACTGGGGACGGAGCCCGCAGCCCCTCAGCGTGTGCCCTGACCGGGAATCGAACCGTTTCCTCCTGGTTCACAGGTCGATGCTTAACCCCTGAGCATGCTGGCGGGGCCCTTTGGATCTCATTTAGGATGGATCACGTGCACCCGGGCTCTGCTGCCATGTGTCCGTGTACATGTGACGTGCTCGGTGGTTAGAAGGGCAAGAGATGAGGAGAGAGAAACGTGGGGACCGAGTTTACCATACCTGTGACGGCCGAAACCGGTGTGGCTCAGTGGATAGAGCATCGGCCTGCGGACTGAAGGGTCCTAGGTTCGGTTCCGGTTAAGGGCATGGACCTTGGTTGCAGGCACATCCCCAGTGGGGGCTGTGCAGGAGGCAGCTGATGGATGTTTCTCTCGCATCGATGTTTCTAACTCTCTATCCCTCTCTCTTCCTCTCTGTAAAAAATCAATAAAATATATTTTAAACAAAACAAAACATGCCTGTGACGCCTCCGGAAGCTGGCGATGGGCCGTCCAGGTGGCAGCCGGCTGCCGATGGCGCCTTCCTGCATGCCCGCAGTAACCCGGCGTGGCTCAGTGGACAGAGCGTCGGCCTGAGGACTGAAGGGTCCCGGGTTCGATTCCGGTCAGGGGCATGGACCTTGGTTGCGGGCACATCCCCTGGCGGGGGCGTGCAGAGGCGGCGGAAGGGTGTCGGGGCCGCAGTGGCGGCCCCCGCCGGCCCTTGACCCCGTGACCCCGTGTCGCCCCCCCCAGGAGCTGCGGTCCCGGGAGGAGGAGCTGAGCCGGGCGGCCCTGCAGCAGAAGTCGCAGGAGGAGCTGCTGAAGCGGCGGGAGCAGCAGCTGGCCGAGCGGGAGATCGACGTGCTGGAGCGCGAGCTCAACATCCTCATCTTCCAGCTCAACCAGGAGAAGCCCAAGGTCAAGCGCAGGAAGGGCACCTTCCGGAGGAGCCGCCTCAAGGTCAAGGATGGGCACCGCATCAGCCTGCCCTCAGGTGGGCCCTCCTCCCCCCGCCCCCCCTTCCCTCTCCCTCCCCTCCCCCCATCCCCCTTCCCTCTCCCTCCCCTCCCACCCCCCATCTGCAGGCCACCCCGGGGCCGGCCGCTCGGCACCGTGGCCTTGGCAACGGGAAGCCATGGGGAGAAGCAATTCTCCCTCTCGCCTGGTGGCGCCAATTTGCATATTCCCTCCTTATTGGCTGTGGGCAGCACCATCTTTGTCACGGAGTTGTGGTCAATTTGCATATTCCCTCCTATTGGCTGTGGGCACCACCATCTTTGTCATGGAGTTGTGGTCAATTTGCATATTCCCTCCTTATTGGCTGTGGGCACCGCCATCTTTGTCATGGAGTTGTGGTCAATTTGCATATTCTCTCCTTATTGGCTGTGGGCACCACCATCTTTGTCATGGAGTTATGGCCAATTTGCATATTATGTCTCTCTTGGAGATATGTTTGTATTGATTTCAGAGAGGAAGGGAGACGGGGGGAGAGAGAGAGAGAGAAACATTGATGATGAGAGAGAATCCTGGACCGGCTGCCTCCTGCACGCCCTCACACTGGGTATGGAGCCTGCCACTGGGCATGTGCCCTGATGGGGAATCGAACCTGGGGCTCTTCAGTCTGCAGGCGTCACTCCATCCACTGAGCCAAACTGGCAAGGGCAGCAAGTGATTATTTAAGCCTCCAGTAATTTTGTTTGTAGGGGTTAGTGGATTTTAAATATATCAAATATATACTGAAAAGAATCATTTAAGAAGAGAAAATAACAGGACCATTCCCAGTCAGGGCACAGGCCTGGGCTGTGGTCCCCAGTGGGGGGCGCGCAGAAGGCAGCCGATCCATGATTCTCTCCTCATGGATGTTTCTCGCTCTCTCTCCCTCTCCATCCTTCTCTGAAATCAATAAAAATATGTTTTTTAAAAAAATTTTACAAATACTAGGTGGATTTTCAGCAAAGCACACTACGGTTCTGCAAATAGGAAGTGAACACGTGTCAGACACTCCACCCCACTCCCTGAGTTAGCGGGACCAGGCCTTCATGGGCCGTTTGGTGCAGGAATGTGAGGGCCAGGCGGCCGGGTTAAACACAAACCCGGTGAATGCCCCGAACGGCCATAAACCGTAACCGCTGGGATCGCCTCTCCGGCCAGACAGAAGCTATTTGCATTGTCACCAGACGGAATCCACGGGTTAACCTCTTCTCCGAGCGGGCGGTAGAAATATCCCAGTCGCTCGCAAATCGATCAGAGCTGAAGGCATGCCAGCACACTCCGGGGGTCTCTCACTTGTGTCTGAGTTTTACATTTTTTTTTATTAATTTTTTTACAATTTACTAAGACATTCTCCTCTCCCATCCTGCTGCTCTTTCGTTCATACATTCCCACAGTTCTTTGCACAGCTCTGTCAGGACCCCTGCTCTCCCTGACAGGTAGATGAGGGTACCTAACATTTTTTAAAATATATGTTTTATTGATTTTGTACAGAGAGGAAGGGAGGGAGAGAGAGAGAGAGAGAGCTAGAAACATCGATGAGAGAGAAACATCGACCAGCTGCCCCCTGTACACCCCCTACCGGGGATGTGCCCGCAACCAAGGTACATGCCCTTGACTGGAATCGAACCTGGGATCTTTCAGTCCGCAGACCGACGCTCTATCCACTGAGCCAAACTGGTTTCAGCTATACCTACCATTTTTAAAGTGCTGAGACCACAAGGTACTTTTATTTTCTTTTTTAAAAACGATTCTTTTAAAAATAGATATGCTTTTATTGATTTCAGAGAGGAAGGGAGAGGGAGGGAGGGAGAGAGGGAGAGAGAGAGAGAGAGAGAGAGAGAGAGAGAAGCATCCATGATGAGAGAGAAGCATGGATCGGCTGCCTCCTACAGGCCCCCCACTGGGGATCGAGCCCGCCACCCGGGCGTGTGCCCTGACCGGGAATCGAACCCGGACCTCCTGGTTCCTAGGTGGATGCTCAATCCCTGAGCCACGCCGGCCACGTCCGGGCTCTCTGGCAGATCTTGCTTGGATTGCTTGGATTGCTATGTGTGAAGACGCGAATGTGGAAATCACTTCAAACCACGAAATCTCACTGCTTCCTTTGTCTCCCGTCTGACAGACTTCCAGCACAAAATCACCGTGCAGGCCTCCCCCAACCTGGACAAGCGGAGGAGTCTGAACAGCAGCGGGTCCAGCCCTCCCAGCAGCCCCACGGTGATCCCGAGGCTCCGGGCCATTCAGCGTGAGCACCCCCCTTTCCCACCCTCACCCCATCCCCATCCCCGTCCCCACCCCCACCCCCACCCCGGGCCCCGAGTCTGCTTCTGCCATTAGTTCCACTGGCTGTAACTGAGCGTTTGACATGGAATAGGTGTCACCACTATTGGGAAAACAAAATTCAGCCTTCCATTCCTAAATCTAGTTTTCTTCCATGGGTAACATTTTTAAAAAATACACTGAGCGGCCAGGTGATGATGATGATCTCTGAACGCATCATCATCCGGCCACTCCATGTACATCCTATAGAATAAAAGGCTAATATGCAAATGGTCCCCTCGACCAGGAGTTCGACCAGCAGGCAGGCCAGCCAACTGCCCATGTCCCCTCCCCACTGGCCGGACCCTATCCATGCACAAATTCATGCACCGGGCCTCTAATATATATATGTGTGTGTGTGTATATATATTGTACATACACACACACATACTCACACATACTGAGTGACCAGATTATTATGCGTTCAGAGGTCATTATCATCTGGCCACTCCGTGTATATTTTTATTGATTTTAGAGAGTGAGAGAAACATTAACGATAAGAATCGTGGATCGGCTGCCTCCTGCACACCCCCTACTAGGGATGGAACCCACCACCCCGGGCCTGTGCCCAGACCGAGAATCGAACCGTGGGCCTCCTGGTTTGTAGGTCGGTGGCTCTACCACTGAGCCACGCTGTATTCCTCATAAACACAGTGAAATCCTAACTGTCACAGGAATGTCAAATAGGTAAACAAGTAATCCAGTCTTTGCTACTCATTGGCCTAGGTTTTGTACCTTTTTTTTTTCTTCCATTTATTTCAATGTTTGTGCTAATTTTCTCATTCGAGGAAGCTCACCATTGGTAAAGAGAAAGAAATCATTGATTATGTTTATGCTTCCTTGTTGACGTGCTTTGAGTAAGGTCGTGGGGTTTTTTTTTGTTTTGTTTTGTTTTTTACAAATGACTTGGTTCTTCGACCTTAAAGTTTCTCCCTTGATGCCGAAGCCGGTGTGGCTCAGTGGTAGAGCGTCGGTCTGCGGACTGAAAGGTCCCGGGTTCGATTCCGGTCAAGGGCATGTACCTTGGTTGCGGGCACATCCCCAGTAGGGGGGTGTGCAAGAGGCAGCTGATCGATAATTCTCTATCATCGACGTTTCTGGCTCTCTATCTCTCTCCTGTCCTCTCTATAAAAAAAATCAATAAAATATATTTAAAGTTTCTCCCCTGTGCAGTGACCTCGGACGAGAGCACAAGGACGTGGGGCAGGAACACGGGCTGCCGGCCGGAGGAGTTCGAAGACGTGAGGAGGAATTTCAAGAGGAGAGGCTGCACCTGGGGACCCAGCTCCGTCCCAATGAAAGACAGAGCCGACTGCAAAGAGAGGTGCGTGTGCGCCCCCTGGTGGCCGCTGTGTGGAATCGAGTGGACAGGGATCTTAAACCGGTGAACAAAACAGACCCAGAAACACAGAAGCTTAGAACAGACTGAGGAATCTCCGAGGGAGGAGGGGAGGGGGGTGTGAAGAGGTTAACCAAAGAACTTACCTGTGTACAATGAGTGGTCAGGTGATGATGCTCTGTGAACGCAGAATAGTCTGGCCACTCAATAGATAGATAGATAGATAGATAGATAGATAGATAGATAGATATAGAGATAGAGATCGATAGATAGATATAGATAGATATAGATAGATATAGATATAGATATAGATATATAATTAGCCCCGGTGCATGAATTTGTGCATGGGTAAGGTCCAGCCAGCCTGGCCAGGGGGAGGGGACATGGGCAGTTAGCCGGCCTGCCTGCTAGTCAAACTCCTGGTGGAGGGAACAATTTGCATTTTAGCCTTTTATTCCACAGGATATACACTGAGTGGCCAGATGATTATGCGTTCAGAGATCACAATTATCTGGCTACTCCGTGTAGATGCATACATAACCCACGGACACAGACAGTGTGGTGAAGTCCTGGGGAGGAGGTGGGAGCGGGATGGAGGAGGTCCGTAGGAGGAGAAAGGGGGAACATGTGTAATACTTACAAAAAATACTTTAAAATAAACATAAATTTTAAAAATAAGTAATAAGATAAAAAGTTTTAAAAATGAAGAGACTGTAGAGATAGCTGAATATGATTTCCATTTCAGGGATGAGTTTATCATACTCATTCGTTATTGGTTAAATCGTTACATCTCCAACATATTATCAGCCTGATTTTTAAGGTTTCATTTGGGCTTCATTAGCTCCTCAACACCTACTTGGCTATGTGTTTCTGTTCCATTAAAATAAACATCTTGCCCTGGGCGGTGTGGCTCAGTGGATAGGGCATCGGCCTGTGGACTGAAAGGTCCTGGGTTTGATTCCTGGTCAAGGGCGTGTACCTGCAGGAGGCATCCAATCAATATGTTTCTCTCTCCCATCAGTGTTTCTCTTTGTCTCTCCTTCTTCCTTCCACTCCCTGGAAAACTCAATGGAAACATTATCTTCAAGTGAGGATTAGGAGGGAAGGAAGGAAGGAAGGAAATAAAATAAGCATCTTTCTCTCATAGAATAAGACCTCTCTCGGATGGAAACAGCCCTTGGTCAACTCTCTTCATAAAACATCACAAAACCACGCCACTGGCCTCGTTGTTTGTGGACCAACCAGGTACAGAATTTGCATCACCCAGAAGCCGTTGAGCAGCCTTAGCATATCATTAGCATAGTACGAGCTGATTGGCTGAACAGCCGGCAGGTCAACCGGACACTTAGCATATTAGGCCTTTATCATGTGGGATTACCTGAGCCTGTCCAGATAGCGGGAGTCATCCGAGAAGCCATCCTCCTTCTTTCTTAGAATCTTATTTAGCAGGAACCGGTATGGCTCAGTGGATAGAGCATCGGCCTGCGGACTGAAAGGTCCCAGGTTCGGTTCCGGTCAAGAGCGTGTTACCTTGGTTGCGGGCACATCCCAGGTAGGGGGTGTGCAGGAGGCGGCTGACCAACCTTTCTCTATCACTGATGTTTCTAATTCTCTATTCCTCTCTTTTCCTCTCTGTAAAAAAATCAATAATATATATATATATATATAATTTTTTAAAAAAGAATATTTTAAAAATATATATATTTTATTAATTAATTAATTTATTTTTACAGAGAGGAAGGGAGAGAGATAGAGAGCCAGAAACATCGATCAGCTGCCTCCTGCACACCCCCTACTGGCAATGTGCCCCCCACCAAGGTCCATGCCCTTGACCGGAATGGAACCTGGGACCCTTCAGTCCGCAGGCCGACGCTCCATCCACTGAGCCACCTGGGCTAGGGCTATTGTGCGTGTAGTTTAAAGTATTTCCCCTGGAAGACCTCCTTCTCTCTGTGTGTCTCCGCCTTCCCCAGGTGCCTGCGAGGAGCCCAGACCCTCTGCCGACGGCGGCTCGGAGCCCCGAAAACCACCCCACACCAAGCCCTCAGGGCCCGCCCCGGCCGACCCGCCTCCGGGGAAAGACGGGCCGAGAGAGAGCCTGCCGGAGACCGAGGCCCGGGAGGAGGCCGCCCCCGCTGCTGCCGCCGCCGCGGGCACCCCTCCGGGGCCCGCCACCCCCACCCCGAGCAGGCCGGCCCCCCGGAGGAGGACGGAGGGCGCCCTGCTCGGCTGCGCCGCGCTGCTGGCCGCCGTGGCCCTGGGCCTGGACCTCCGGGAGCTGCCCCGGCCGCTGGCCCCCGATGACCCGGGGCCCCGGGAGGAGAGGAGGCGACGCAGGGACGTCCTGCCGCGGGCATCCTGGCCCCGTGGGGGCCCCGACCGCCCCCGGGCACCGGCCCGGCTGCCCGCCCCCAGCGCCCTGGGCCTCCTCGCCCAGCCGTCCCTCTCCACCAGGTGCCTGCTGCAGGCCGAGGGCGGGGAGGCCCCCGAGGGCACCGTGCCCGCCCCGGTCGGGCCCGCTCCGGACGCCGTCTGTCCTGCCGCCTCGCCGCCCGGACCCGGGGCTGGGCGCCGGGCGTGGGACTCGAAGAGAGGGGCAGCGGGGCACCGGCGAGCCGTGTCCGACGGGAGCGCCGCGCTGGCCCCAGGTAGGCGCTCGGAGGGAAGGGGCAGACGGACAGGCAGGCAGGCAGACGCACAGACACCCTTCGTGGGGGCCTGGCACGCGATGGCATGTCCCCGTGTCAGGCGTGTGCAGACGTGTTCCCGCCGTGCACACAGGCCTTCAGATTCTTGGAAAAGGATAATGAAGCATCTGTTACTCAGATATGTCATGATGGCCCTGGCCGGTGCGGCTCAGTGGATAGAGCGTCGGCCTGCGGACTGAAGGGTCCCAGGTTCGATTCCGGTCGAAGGGCATGGACCTTGGTGGCGGGCACATCCCCAGTGGCGAGTGTGCAGGAGGCAGCTGATGGATGTTTCTCTCCCATCCATGTTTCTGACTCTCTCTCTCTCCCCTCCTCTCTGTAAAAAATAAATATAATGTATGTAAATATGCCATGATAGCACCTTACGTCAGAAAGCTCTTGGGAGCCTGGCTGGTGATCAGATGTCTGTTTTTTAACAATTATCATTTTCTTTTAACTTTAAAAAAAAATATATATATATATATATATATATATATATATATATATATATATATTTGTTTTTTTTTTTTAATCGATTCTTTACAGGGAGGAAGGGAGAGGGATAGAGAACTAAACATTGATGAGAGAGAAACATCCATCAGCTGCCTCTGGCACAACCCCTACTGGGGATGTGCCCTTGACCGGAATCAAACCTGGGACCCTTCAGTCCGCAGGCCGACACTCTATCCACTGAGCCACACCGGTGAGGGCTAACCATTATTTTTTATGGATTTCAGAGAGGAAGGGAGAGGAAGAGAGAAAGAGAAACATCAAGGATGAGAGAGCATCATGGATCGGCTGCCTCCTGCATGCCCCACACTGGGGACCGAGCCCACCACCCGGGCATGCACCCTGACTGGGAATCGAACCGTGACCTCCTGGCTTCTAGCTGGACTGGACGCTCAACCACAGAGCCACACAGGCGGGGCTGGCCATTTGTCTGGTGTGCATGGTCCGACGTCCGAGTCTCTGATCTCACTGCCTTTGCTTTCTCGCCAGCGGCTGCCACGGGAGCGCCGGCCCTGCCCCCCGAGCAGGCGTGGGGACCTCCCCACCCGTCCTGGCCTCCCAGGAACCTGCCCCCCGAGGCCCTGCCTGGGAAACAAAGCACCTTCACCTCTGTGCCTCCTCCCTCCGCCCCCTCGGACGCCCCCCAGGCCTTGCCGGCGAGGACAGAGCCGCTGCCATCGGCCCCCGGCTGTCCCCTCGGAGCCCCGGACAGAACGAGGCCGCTCGGACCCTCCCTGCTGGACGCGGACGTGCAGGGCCAGAGCCGGGACTGCACGCCGCCCCTGTGCCGCTGAGGAGGGGGGGGAAGCAGCCGTCCCTCCGTCCACCAGCTGGAGAAGGAGTTCCTGTCCTAGTGCCTTACGCGGCTCCAACATGTCCCCCTTTTTTAATTAAAACTCTGCGTCTGCCTCCGCGTGGTTTCCTGCCGCTGGGTCTGGCAGAGTCATGGACGTCCAAGGAGATGGGGTTGCCGCCGGATCCCCGCCTGGTGACTTGAAAACACACGCGTGTGGAAGCGTGTGGCCACGCCACACGCACGGCTCCGCTGGGAAGAGTTAGGGAAGCACAAGTTTTCATTCTGCTGCTCGTGTCTCCGCTGTGTTAGCTGATAACGCAGGAAGGAGTGGGCCACCTTGTCCTCCCCCTCCCTCCTTCCCCCTTCCCGCCCTCCCTTCTTCTCCCCTCCCCTCTCCCTTTCTCCCTCTCCTTTCTCCTTTCTTCTCACCTTTCTCTCTCTAAACTCTCTCTCTTTGGTGCAACAAAAAGCCAAGAAGAAGAATGTGCTGTTCATAAGCAAAAGTGCCTATTTTTTAAATATATATATATATATTTTTTATTGGTTTCAGAGAGGAAGGGAGAGAGGGAGAGAGAGAGAAACGTCCATGATGAGAGAGAATCATGGATCGGCTGCCTCCTGGATGCCCCACACTGGGGATGGAGCCCACAACCCGGGCCTGTGCCCTGACCGGGAATCGAACCATGACATCCTGATTTATAGGTGGATGTTCAACCACTGAGCAACACTGGCCAGGCAAAGGTGTCTACTTTAAAAAAAAAAAATGGTAACTAGCATAGATACAAAATCCTATGTAAGGGGCCTAGACCCAACAGTAAGGTTACCATGCGCCAACACACCCAACTCTCACTCGAACTTCACACTATTTCTCTGTCGGAGGAGAATCTACTGAACGTAACTTATTAAATGTTACCCGTTCAGCGTCCAAAGCGGATGTTCACCTGATTGGCGCTGGGCTCAGCGCGGTGTGTGCCCCTGGGACCTGCCTCCCGTTTTCCTCCCTGCAGGAAGCGGGTTTCCCGGCCTGGAAGCCAGGGGCCCGGCCTCTGGAATGAATGGGAAAGCCTTTCCCTCTTGGAGCAGCATCTTTAAAGACGGACACACGTGTCGTGTCATGCACCTTCCTGTCGTGTTGTTTTTCTCTGTTTAAACACCTCCTTATCCGAACCGTCCCAGATACAGTTGGAGGGGAAACTGCCACGTCTGTTGGCATTTGGGGGCGGCGCAGTTATGTCCCCGTGCCTTTCCTTCTGGATTCTCCCCCGAAAGGAAACAGCCTCCTGTCTGAAGATGCTCGCGGCAGGATCTAGGCGGGTGCTTGCCGCGTTGTGCGGTGTCACCTACCGTCCCCCCCACGAGGCGGCTTGCTCTCGGGCGGGTGTTGAATCGTTCTTAGAAGAGGCATAGAGAAACCACACCTTCAGTTTTGTTTCTACCAAAGAAGTGGGGGGCGGGGAGAGAAGGGGGGTGATGGGTGTCCCGTCTGTCTTGTCCCCATCTTCCAGGCCCTGTTTTCTTTTTCTTTCTTTCTTTCTTTCTTTCTTTCTTTCTTTCTTTCTTTCTTTCTTTCTCTTTCTTTCTTTCTTTCTTTCTTTCTCTTTTTAATATATTTTATTGATTATTTTACAGGGAGGAAAAGATAGAAGATATCTTTTTTAGAAGGATAGAGAGTTAGAGACATCGATGAGAGAGAAACATTGATCATCTGCCTCTTGCACACCCCCCACTGGGGATGTGCCAGCAACCAAGGCACATGCCCTTGACCGGAATCGAACCTGGGACCTTTCAGTCCGCAGGCCGACGCTCTATCCACTGAGCCAAACCGGTTTCGGCTCTTTTTTTTTTTTTAATACGTTTGGTGATTTCAGAGGAAGGGAGAAAGAGAGAGAGAGAAACATCCATGATGAGAGAGGATCATGGATCAGCTGCCTCCTGCAGGCCCCACCCTGGGGATGGCGCCCACAACCAGGGCATGTGCCCTTGACCGGGAATCGAACCCTGACCTCCTGGTTCCTGGGTGGACGCTCACCCACTGAGCCACGCCGGCCGGCTCCCCGTTCAGCTTTATTTGAGTGAAATCTTTTTTGAATGAATCTAGAAGGGGAGCCACTTAAAGAGACGATTACAAGAGACGCTCCACGCTGTCACGTCTCTGCAGATCGCTCTATCTTCTCCAGGATCTCGCTGTTATTTATTTTGCTGCAGCCCCCCTCCCCGTAGCGCCCCCCGTAGCGCCCTGAAGGCTAAATGAACCCCAGTTCCTGTTGGCAAACAATGAAGGTGCTCTCCCTGCCGAGATTTGAGGCCCTGGCCTCCGCGCTGTATTATGAAGCCTTGCCGTGAAAAAGATGTTTACACACTATTGTTGTCTATTTTTTTTTTATTAATAAATTTGTTTTGATGGCCGGTCTCCCTGCTCAGCAGCTCCGATCGGCCCCTGAGGACGGACTGTCGTCGGATACGTTGGAGCTGTATCCCACTAGAAAGCGCGCGTGTTAATAAAGATGGTTGATGCTGAGTGAGCCGGGTATTTCTCCGTCTTCTGGTCTCGGGGTTTCAAGAGGAGTTGGGGTACAGAGGAGCTGGGTGCAGGTGTAGCTGATGTCCAGCCCAGCCTCACAGACACACACACGCCCATGCACACAAGCGTGCTCATGCAGAGACACAGTAACACAGGTGCACACACGCGTGCTCATGCACAGACACACAATCACACAGGTGCACACGCATGCTCGTGCACAGACATACAAGCTGGGGATCCCGGCTGTGGTAACCTGGCCCCCTCGCAATGCCTTTCTACGTGTAATATGCATACACACGGAGTGGCCAGATGATGATGATCTCTGAATGCGTAATAATCTGGCCACTTCGTGTGTATATATATATTGCAGGCATGAATGCGTGCATGGGTGGGGTCCAGCCAGCCTGGCCAGGGGGGAGGGGACATGGGCGGTTGGCCGGCCTGCCTGCTGGTCGAACTCCTGGTCCAGGGGACAATTTGCATTTTAGCCTTTTATTCTATAGGACAGACACCGAGCGGCCAGATGATGATGCGTTCAGAGGTCATCATCATCTGGCCACTCCGTGTGTATTGTTTATGGAGTCTTGTCTATAAATCTTGGCCTCTGCCTCTCGGGTGCCCCCTGGAGGCAGAGCACACAAACTGCCCCATTATTGTGAAATCGCCTTTCCAGGAAAGGCACACCGGGTCTCCCCGCCCCCCCCCCCCCCCCCCCCCCCCCCCCCCATGAGGTGGCTCTGGCCCTGCTCCCCTGAACAAGACACAGCCCTTGGCAAAGCTCAGGTCCCCTGGCAGCTGGCACACCGCCGGGCCCTTGTCACGCTTCATGTTTTATTTCTTTTATTTTTTCACGCTTCATGTTTTAAAGAGTGAGAGCTCCCCAACGGAACCTTCCACTCTCTCCTGGGGTGGCTCTCGGGTGCCCCTTGTGGAGGGTGGGAAGGGGGGGAGCGGAAGCTTCTAGTGAGAAGCCGGGTGCCTGGAGCTGCACCCACCGTGATTGGGGCCCCAGGACTCCCTGAGGAAGGGGGAGGGTGTCACCGGGGCCTGGACAGCAGGCACACGGACACACACACAATGGCGCACACACACCTCCAGGCACACTCACAGGCACTGCACGCTCCCTCAGGTGCACACACGGAAACGCTCCTGCAGGCACTCACACATGCGTATACCCAGACACACACACACACACCTTCCCGCAGGTGCACGCACACCCCGCATGCACACGTGCCTACACGTACGCGCACACGTCCACACGTATGAGCAAATACATGCCCGTGCACTCCCTCACAAGAGTGTGCACGGGGGAGCCCAGCCTCACAGACACACATGCCCATGCACACATGCGTGCTCACGCACAGACACACAATCACACAGATGCTCACGCACAGACACACAATCACAGGCACACATGCTCACGCACGGACACACCATCACACAGACACACATACTCACGCACAGACACACAATCACACAGATGCTCATGCACAGACACACACACACACACACACACACACGCATGCACGCACCTGCTCTCCCCCCTCCGGGGCCCACACCGGTCCTCAGGCGGAGCCCAGCGAAGCGGGAGGAGGAGCCGCCCCGCCCGGCCTGGCAGCGCGCGCTCGGGCCACGTTGGCGGGGCCGGTCCCCGGGCGCTCGGGTTACCTGCGCCGCCGGCACCACGTCAGCGCCACCTCCCGCCCCTGGGCGCCCCGCAGGAAGCCGGAAAGGGGGGGCCCCCAGCACCTCCGATTGGAGCAGCCAATCGGGGTGCGGGCTGGCCGCTGCGGGCGGGGCGGGGGAGCCGATCGCTGGGTGCGGGCGCGGGGAGGGGAGGTGCGCGGGGAGGGGAGGCGCGCGGGGAGGAGGGCGGGGACCGGGGACGGGCCCGGGGCGGGGCTCAGCGGCGCGGGAGCCGATCCGATCGCCGGGTGCCGGGTGCGGGGCGGCGGGCGGCGCGGGAGGGCGCGCGGGGAGGCGGGCACCAGGGGCGGGCCCGGGGCGGGGCGGCGCGGGAGCCGATCTCGGTCTCCGGTCGCCGGGCGGGCGGGCGGCGGCGGCGGCGGCGGCGGCGGCGGCGGCGGCGGCGGGTGCGATGCTGCAGTCGCTGGCGGGCAGCGCGTGCGGGCGCCTGGCGCAGCGGCACCGGCCGGCCTGCTGCTTCGCGCTGCTGGTGCTGGGCTACCTGCTGTACCTGGTGTTCGGCGCCGTGGTCTTCTCGTCCGTGGAGCTGCCGCACGAGGACCTGCTGCGCCAGGAGCTGCGGCAGCTCAAGCGGCGCTTCCTGGAGCGCCACGCCTGCCTGGCCGAGCCGCAGCTGGAGCGCTTCCTGGGCCGCGTGCTGGAGGCCAGCAACTACGGCGTGTCCGCGCTCGGCAACGCCTCGGGCCGCTGGAACTGGGACTTCACCTCGGCGCTCTTCTTCGCCAGCACCGTGCTGTCCACCACCGGTAGGCGCCGGCCCGCCGCGGGGAGAGGGGGTGCCCCGGCGCGCGCCCCGGCCCTGCGCCCCCAGATGCGCCCTTTCCAACCCGAGCCACCGGCCACCGGCCACCGGCCGCCTCCCCTCCCTGGGGGACTGGCCCCGGCCGCCCAGGGGGCCCCTCTGGCGCTCGCCCCCGTCCCCCGCGCCCCCCGATGCACCCTCTCCACCCCGGCCACCTGCGCGCCCCTCGCCCCTCGCCGGAGGGGCCCCTGGAGCGCGCCCCTGAGCCTCCTGCGCCCCCTGCACTCCCCGAGCCTCCGAGGCTCCCTCTCCAACCCGGGCCACAGGCCACCTCCACTCGCTGGGGGACTGGCCACCGGCCGGGGGTCCCCCTGGCCTGGCCCACGACCCTGCGCCACCCCGCCCCCATGCGCCCTCTCCAACCCGGGCCACCTCTCCTCGCCGGGGACTGGCCCGGGCCGGGGAGCCGGAAGCGGGGGGGGGGGGTGCCCATGGGAACTCTCGGGAAGTGACCCCCTCACCCCCAAAACCTTGGGCCTGGGTGGCTAGAGGGGCTTCCTGGGCTCCGTCCTGTTTTCTGGGTCCCCGGCCCCCAGCCGGTGTGGCGGGATGGAGCCCGCATTGGCCTGGATGCGGGGAAACTCCGCCGGGGCGCCCTCCCCGCACCCATCCCGCCGGAGGGATGACGGGGTCACCTTCCGGAGGGCTCGATCCCGGGTGATGCCTGGGATTGTGGGCTCCTTTCTCTCCACGGGGGGTGGGGGGTGGGGTGGACGGGGAGGGAGCCGGGTGACATCACTCTGCTCCTGGCGGTGACCTGGACGCACAGGCCCGGCCGGTTTTGTTTGTTTTTTGTGGCTTTTTTTTTTTCCCCAGAAGAGAAGGAGGAGGAGGAGGAGGGGTGAGGGCATGCAGGGATCTGGCAAAATGGGGCTCCTGCTGCAGCAGGATTTCAACTTTGGGGGGGGGGGGGGGCCGGCCGTGAACTTCAGGGTGCACCTGCCTCCCAGGCAGGAGGCGCCCAGCGGGCGGGCAGTGGGGGAGGAGCACCCCACGCCCCGGGTGGCCGCCCTGGGGTGACCCGCCCGCCCTGCGCCCCGGGGCAGCTGGTGGAGGTGGAGGGAGGCTGGGTGGGGCTGAACAAGGCTTGTCCACCTGCCGGGAGGTATTGCTAGGTGGGCCCCATGGGCCTGGAGTCTGCCTTAGAGAGTGTGCTCAGTGCTTCTGGCCGTGTGTGTGTGTGTGTGTGTGTGTGTGTGTGTGTGTGTTTAAAATATATTTTATTGATTTTTTTACAGAGAGGCAGGGAGAGGCATAGAGAGTTAGAAACATCCATGAGAGAGAAACATCCATCAGCTGCCTCCTGCACACCCCCCACTGGGGAGGTGCCCGCCACCAAGGTCCATGCCCTTGACCAGCATGGAACCTGGGGCCCTTCCGTCCACAGGCCGAGTCTCTATCCACTTGGGCATGCTTTGTTTTTAAAAATATACTTTTATTGCTCTCAGAGAGAGAGGAAGCGAGTGGGGGAGAGAGAGGAGAGATAAAAACATCAAGGATGAGAGAGGATCATGGGTGGGCTGTCTCCTGTAGGTGCTCCTCACCCCCTTCGCCGGACCCCACTGGGGATGGAGCCCTAATGGGGAGTCGAACCTGGACCTCCTGGATCGTAAGTCTGTGCTCAAACCACTGAACCACACTGGCGGGGGGGGGGGGGGGGCAAAATCTGATGTTTGGAACAAATCGCCTTCACCTGCACAAGGTCACACCCGTCCCAGCGGCCAGGAATGCTTTGCACCCCCGTCCCCTGTCCTTGGCAGGTGGATCTACTCTGTTAGACTTCAGCTCTGCCTTCATTGCCACCCCCCCTCCCCCTTCCCACCTGCCAGGTTTGTTTGTTTTGAAATCCCTGGGCTTAGGCTATCTCCAGTCCATTCATTGGTTTGGGTGATTATTTGGGGAACGGCTGCTAGTGCAGTGTGGGCTTGGCTTCTGGGAGACAGTGATTCAGACGTCTGGGGTGAGTGACTACAATGGAATCCACAAGAAGTCTTGTATGTGTGTGTGTGTGTGTGTGTGTGTGTGTGTGAATTTTTTTAAAAAAAAAAACAAACGTATTTTAATGGACTTCAGAGAGGAAGGGAGAGGGGGTGAGCGACAGAAACATCCATGATGAGAGCGAATCGCGGATCCGCTGCCTCCTGCACGCCCCCCACAGAGGATTCAGCCAGCCAGCCAGCCGCCCCGGGCAGGTGCCCTTGGCGGGAATCGAACCCGGGACCCTTCAGCCCGCAGGCTGTGGATCTCTCCGTTCACGGAGCCAAACTGGCCAGGGGGATGGCTCTCTGATGGTTGGCATTCCGCTGGCGTGGACTCTCCCCATACAATGCAGGAGCTCCTCCAGGAGATGAGGGCCAGGGGCACATGAGGATAAAGGAGGTGGGGATGGGGCCTCTGAGGGTGTGTACAAAGAGCAGAATCAATGGTTTGTGTTTTTTTCCCACGGGTCCGAGAGAGCCGGGTGGGCTCATTCTAGGCGAACGCAGACAGGATTTAGAATCTGTCCTCCATCCAGGATGTTTCTCTGCTGGTCCGGTACCGACCGGCTCCCGACACAGCTAAAGTTCGGGGTGGTGTCAGAACACGGGCTTGCCCTGACCTGTGTGGCTCAGTGGATAGAGCGTCGGCCTGGGGACTGAGAGGTCCCAGGTTCGATTCCAGCCAAGGGGCATGGACCTTGACTGCGGGCACATCCCCAGTGGGGGGTGTGCAGGAGGCAGCTGATGGATGTTTCTCTCTCATCGATGTTTCTGACTCTCTATCCCTCTCCCTTCCTCTCTGTAAAAAAACAAAAAACAAAAATCAATAAGATACATTTAAAAAAAAAAAAAAAAAGAAAGAAAGGAAAAGAATGCCAGCTTGGCTTGCACAGAACCCGGTGGGAAATGGGGTCCTCGGAGTCAGGGGGTTCTGTGGGCGGTGGGGGTGGCACACGGGAGATGCCGGTGTGCTGTGTTTGGACCCGTCACTGCAGGGTTTCAGGTGACGGGCACAGTCAGAGGGCACGGGGACTCTGCAGGGACGCCATCCGATCCCACTGCGGCCGAACCCAGGAGGCCCTGACGCCTGCAGTTCCCCATCCAGAAGCTGCGCCTTTGGGGGCGCCCCGCCTTCCTCCACGCCCCCGTCACCCCGATTCCGGTTGTGCTCTGACCTCTTTTGTCCCTTCGTGGTGTCGTCCTCAGAGCCGGTGAAAGGGCTTTGGCCCCGCCACGAAGTCAGGCTGGAAAGGGGGTCATGGGGGGACGGGGGGTGCAGAGGGACCCTCTCTGAAAGAATGGGGGGTCATTCTCGCCCTGAGCAGGAATCAGACCCTCAGGGGGCTTGTCTGTGACCCTCGGGTGTCTTTCCCTTTGCTGGTCGGTGAAATGGGGTCGATGCTTACGGTAAAGAGACTGCTTAGATCGTGTCAGACACCGATGCCGGCATTTATTTGTTTATTTTTAATTCCTTTTATTGATTTTTTTTCTTTTTTTTTTTTTTTACAGAGAGGAAGGGAGAGGGATAGAGAGCGAGAAACATCGATGGGAGAGAAACATCGATCGGCTGCCTCTTGCACACCCCCCACTGGGGATGTGCCCGCAACCAAGGTCCATGCCCTTGACCGGAATCGAACCTGGGACCCTTCAGCCCGCAGGCCGACGCTCTATCCACTGAGCCACACCGGTTAGGGCTATGTATTTATTTTAAACGATATCTTTATTGATGTCAGAGAAGAAAGGAGAAGGAGAGAGAGAGAAACATGCATGAGGAGAGAGACTCATGGGCAGGCTGCCTCCTGCACCATCGGGGATGGAGCCTGCTCTCTGGGCCCGGGCCCTGACCGGGAACCACACTGTGAGCTTCAAATAGCGCCCCGTTTGTAACGGACAGGAGCGGCGTCACGTGACCCAGGACGCCCCGGTGGTTCTCTCTGCACGGTGTGAGGTTTGCTGAGTTACCAGGAGTCACCGCAGGATGCCAGCTCAGCACCGCGGCTCCCCACTGTCCTCCATGACCTGAGCGTCCCCTTCTCACATGCCAGGTTTTCTTAAAATATACGCGGAGCAGCCAGATGATGATGATGATGAGCTCTGAATGCATCATCATCATCTGGCCACTCCGTGTGCATCCTATAGAATAAAAGGGTGATAGGCACATGGTCCCCTCGACCAGGAGTTCCACCAGCAGGCAGGCCGGCCAACTGGCCATGTCCCCTCCTCCTGGCCAGGCTGGCTGGACCCCACCCATGCACGAATTCATGCACTGGGCCTCTGATACACACACACACACACACACACACACACACACACACACACTGAGCGGCCAGATTATTATGCGTTCAGAGATTGTCATCATCTGGCCATTCCCTGTATATATATCCTTATTGATGTCAGAGAGGAAGGAAGATGGAGAGAGATAGAGAGAGAGAGAGAGAGAGAGAGAGAGAGAGAGAGAGAGAGAGAGAAACATCCATGATGAGAGAGAATCATGGATCGGCTGCCTCCTGCACGCCCCACACCCCAGGCACATGCCCTTGACCTGAGTGGAACCCGGGACCCTCAGTCTGCAGGCCGACCCTCTATCCACTGAGCCACACCGGCAAGGGGTCAACTGCTGTCTATTTTATGTGAATAACGGTGGGGGAGGGGAGGGGAGGGCGTGCATGTCTGAGACCAGGATGAAAAGGTGAAGACATCCTTGAAGCTAACATTTTGACGTGTCCGGACGCCGGTTGCCGGGCACTCAATTATTTACAGACCGCGGTCCGGGGATTAGGTTCCCTGTCCGAGCCGCCGAGGCCGTGCCCGGCTGCTCCCCGTCCGTCCGTCTGTCCGTCCGACCGCCCCACGGAGGGGTTCAGATCAGGGACAACCCCCATCATGCCCCCGTGTTCCCCAAGCTGTGACAACAATCTGTCGCCCCCACACCCACCTCGTGCTCCTGCCTTTGCGGTATATCTCA